CACTCTTTGACAAAGTTCTTATATTCTCCTCCTCGTGTTACTGGCTGGAGGGAAAATATTGTCAAAGAATTTCAAGTGTGCACGTATCTACAAAACAGATTTTGTACTGAAACTGCAGAAGTCTTACTGGTATGGCTCAACTACAGGTTCTGGGACAAGTTTGCTTCTTCAGCCACTCTAAGTGCTACAGAACTCGATGCTGGGACTGGCACGGTTCTGCAGTATTCAAAATCCTGGCTGACACTTTGTATTCTTCCAACAGTGATATTCAGCAAAACTTACAAGCTTGACATTCCATTAAGAAGTGTTATTTCTTTTTCAATCAGAGCTTAAATTGCTGTGTAACAGCAAGCAGCCTTCTACAATTACTTTCTACTAAATCCTGCCCCCCCCCATCTTGAAAGAACAAAATATTGTGGGAAAGCTACTGGTTGATCTAAACAAAGATTGTAACAGCTTCAGCAAACCTTCCTATTAGCAATTTAATTTTCAAGTTTCTATACATGTACATGTGTTTAAATCAGATGCATACTGTGTTAGACACCCTAGAAAATATACATCTGCACAGTATGTTTTAGGGTGTATGACAGCAAGAATTTTCATAGCAAAGATGAACAAAAATACTTTCAACTGAAAAAACCCACACCATATGTAGCCAGGGGATGAGCAGGTATTTGTCAGTGGTAAGTAACAAAAGAAACCATTACTTTCTGCATTTAATATAAAGGGAAAAATTCTAAGAATCCTATCAAATAAGTACATGGTATAACACCACCATATGAATCATCAGCACTGGGACTAGTACAGACAATTGTCTGCAATAGATTGTAATACTAAATACAAACCAAGTTACATCAAACTTGTTATTTTCTGCTGCACAAACTACATTAAATAACTTTCACTAGTCTGTGTGTGCCACGCTGAAAAAAGTTAAACATTTTTATATTTTTACATAACCCTCACCCTTCTGTTATATTCTCATTTTATTAATGATAGTTGTAAACTCACAAGTCCATGGTTATTCCCTATTCAGAGGTCAGCTTTGTCAGGAAAATTAGTAAAAGTATATCAACAGGTTTGTGGGGGGCATAATAATCTGTGAAACATTTTCATATTGTACCTCTTGAAATGTGGAGGTTGGTGGTGTGGCAAATAGTGCTGCAGCTATTTTTCTTTGGTACCATGGCATCTCAGCAAAGGAGTAACACCTGGAGCAAAAGGAAACATTTGTGTATACCTTTCCCATTTTCGTCTTGTTTTCAAGTAACATTCTGGTATCTTGGATGTCATAATTGTTGTTTCCAAGAGCAACAACAACTCCAGCCACACTGCAAGTTCTATAAGCAAGTTCTTACAACTGTACAACAAAATGGCAAGGTGTTTGTAATTGCTGTGTAGCTCTGCTGAAGAAGTTTTGGTGTGTCTTTTACTGGGAACTCCTATTACGTCAGACAAAACTGGAGACAGTTATTAACCATGAGGCAGCTTTTGAGCTTGAATGATTTTAACAATTTATGTGTATTTGATATTGTTCTAACGTATTTGCAATAACAGTGCAACACTGATTAATGTCATTGCCTTACCTCAACATTACCTTGTTTTTCTCAATTATTAATATAAAGCAGATCTGCAGTACATTCCTGAAAGACACTTTTATCTATAAGAATGAAAATAAACCCAAGATTTAAACTACTGTGTTCTAGGCTAGGCCATTCTACACTGTTTTCGTATCTACTAAATAACAAAGGTAATCAGTCAGTTATCTTAAAGATGCTGAAAGGATTAAACATTTATCAAGTATTTAAAATACGTAGAACATTCTAGGTGTAAACATCAAATAATGCTATTCACTTTATGACCCTCCCACAATGAGTATAAAAATATTCCTCACTGTGTAAAATAGAGCCCTCTAGAGGAGGTGAAAAATTAATAAATGCAAATGTGGAAGTGTTCAGAGGAGAGGGGGGCAAGGAATGGAATATACAGTCTGAGTTGAAATTTTGCCATCAGACGTGCTTTATGAAAAATGTCAGAAAGGAAAAAAATACTCCAGAACTGGCTGATATCAAATCCCAGTTTCCAATGAAGACACTCCAGGATTCAATAATGACTATATTTAAATATACAAACATGGGGATATTTTAATGCCAAAAGCAATTATAAGCTCAGGGTTCTGATCACCTTTTCTAATTTTCCTTAGGAACAATATCTTAAGTACTTTCCAGAACAGCCTTCCTATCTCAAAACTGACCTTGAAGCTCATTTAGTTGGTAGAATCATAGAATCATTAAGGTTGGAAAAGACCTCAGGGATCACAAAGTCCAACCATGAGTAGGATACACTTCCAATTAGAAATGTGGACTATTGCAATTGTTAGGTCCTGTGGGAATAAGTGGTGGATGCTGAAGAGCTGAAGTAAGTTTGTAAACTAATAAACTCTGGAGCAGTAGATTGTAGTTTACTGTGATACTCAAGAGTCCAGAAAAAAACATAGAGAAGGTGTCTGTGGTTTTTATGATCTTTTTTTAAAGCTACAAATACATTGGCTTTATTTATTTTCAATCTCTCAGTTTTACAGTAGAGATTTCCTGTAAAACAATGTAGCAGCTTTGGTCTTTTTAAGACAAATAACCAGAAATGCTGTCTGGAGTCTCTCACTAACACATAAAAGATAGTGCTTTCAGCCACACTGCCTCCACAGTATGCCCTGGTTAGTACAGAAAGTTCTAATTCCAATCCTTCACATGCTATCTACTAGTAATTCTTAGTCTCAGTTTCCCTGAACAGTAAATTCAATTTCAGAGATTTCTTTTAATGCATATGCATTTATAAGCTGCTTTTACTTGAATATAACTTTTAAAATACAGTATCATGAGAGATAATAATGGAAATATTTTAGGAACACATCTCACTTTTGATAATTTTTCACTATACACAGATTGTAGTACTCACAATCTCTGATGTCTGGTATGGAAACGTACTTACGTCTTCAAAATGAGTTTTTAATAGTTCCATACAGTAAAACAAACAAATGAAAAATTATGTTTCATCTTTTTAAAGTGCATAGGATTTAACAGACAGACTTTTTCAAGGCACGACGTCCCATACCTGTTCAATAGGTTTTCATGTTTGCATGAACTGATTACAAGCCACTGAATAATTTCAAACATTTCTGCAATTCATATAAGATATTTTATATTCTGGCATTTTCTTTGCCACATGCTAACTTTTGTTTGAAAATACACCTTACCAAATTCCTATAAGATGGATTGTTGTAGCATCTTTTGGATTCAGTTCAATGGCTCTCTAGTGAGGGGGGAAAAAACACAAAATGTAAAAAATTGTTCTGCCACATTTGGATTAAAATGCATTTTAAAAAGTAGACTTATTATCCTACTGTTAATTAAACCAGATTAACAGTGTGTAGAATTTCAAGGCAATACACGGTATTTATCCAGTGCACAACTACATTGGCTCACCTCCAAAAAACTGAAGACAGTGACAGATTTTTAAACATTTGTGTTTAGTAGGTCATTAAGAGTTTCACATGAGACTTGGCATATTCAGATTGTGATATAATTTCTGGTGATATAAAATTAGTAGTCCTTTATCTTCTCCAGTATTTTTCCTTTACTGCTACATAATCCACAGTTAAAAGGATAGCCACACATCCATTTCTCAATAGCACAGTTACTTTTTATCTAGTCCTAATAGGTGTCAAAAGCAATTCAGCTATTTCAAGGCTCCTTTCCATATGGACTTGGTTTACTGCAGGAGATAATTTGTACTCCTTGTTGCTGGTGCATTCAGGACTCTCACAATAGCCCAAAAAACAAAGTGTCACCAGGACATCTGAACAGAAGTACACTTACAAATTTTCACCAAAAAAATAGTTCACAACTGTCATACACTCTACATATTGGACGCATTAATGCTGTTGTATGCAAAACCCTGTTTGCATTACCTGGAAGTGCTCTTTTATAACAATGGCATTTCCAATCTTAGTCTTGATTCCTTCAAAATCTCCAACATCACTGAGGCAAATTCCATACCACTTTAACACAAAGAACAAAAATAAAACATTTAATGCAGCACCATAGCTATTAGTAGTAAATTGAGGAAAAAAAAAAAAAAAAAGAACAGTTGCCACCACCACCACCAAGCAAGAAGAGCAAGAAGTATTTGTTACGAACAGCTCAGACAGCATCAAAGCAACCTGCTGGTCTGCATGTGTACGGGAATCAATGTCCTCTTATCCAAGATGCCAACACAATTGATTATACTTGTTAAGTCTCAACCTGTGAAAGCAGCAGCACAAAAAAAAAAAAAAAAAAGCAGAAGGAAGCCAGAGCCTGAAGTATTTCCAGTGAAAGTCTATAGAGCTACTATAGTGCACAGAAACAGCATGCTGAATGTAGGGCATGTACCACATTTTTAAGGCTACATCAGAGAAGAATGAGCTGATTACATTAGCTGTAATCAACCTGATCCGTCACCTCTTTCCATGGTCCTGCACACAGGAAACAGGAACTAGTTAAATGGATACGGGAAATATAGCTGCAAAAGCCTGAACTCTTATCTTCCAAAATACACACTCATTCTCAACTGGAAAGTTAAATTATGGTGAAGTTTGCTGAAACAGCACAATGACATTTGTTCCAGTTTCTACTGGCAGAAATGAAAGAACAAGATTTCAGTTAAGTTATTTTACTTGGCTCACCTTGTGCGCTGCAAAATTTGATTCATTTTTTTCAAGTGCCTTTTTTGCATACTCGAGGGCTGCATATGCCAGTTGTCTTTTCTCCTCTGCAGAAGTACTACTAAGCTGAGCTAGATCTCGTGATGCCCGCGCCAGCCGCCACAACAACTCTGCGTCATCACTAGTTACGAACAGAAACATCACTGTTTTAAAGCAATAATGGAAACCAAGCAAAGGTCTTAAACCAGTCTTTCAATAGGTATCTCAAATGGGTGATAAGACAACATACTATCTGTCATTCTATGCTATATACAACCCCAAGGTAACAAATAACAAATGAAAACCCTCCATTATAGACTGTCTGCCATTCTGGTCTGTGAAGCAAACATATCTGTAGGAAAGGACTTTATTTTCTCAAAAAAGATGCAGATTTAAAAAACCCAACAGTACCACATCAAAGGGAAAACAAAAACTACTTTGGTCTTAGCTAGATGGTATTTTTCCAGGATTCCACTGATTTGATATTAATGTTTACTAGAAATGTTTAAAATATTATGCACCTTTTTCCCTGTAATTGTACATAAATAATTAAGTTCTTCCTAGAACAACTGTGAAAAAACACAGATTAGCCACACCACCACCACATAAAGCTGTACATTTATTTATATCATTATAAATAAAAGGTGCATGGTATGTTATAGCCAAAGATGATGTATGGTATGTTACAGCCAAAGGAATTTTCAGTTTTGTTTTGTTAACAGATTGTTTTCAAACACTGCTTGCACTTTACTACACTTTTACCTAACTACCAGTTTAATTTTGGTCTACTATTTTAATAGAGACTTTAATAAATTAAGTTTAGAAAGTCTTTCAGAGGTTCTGGCTGTCTGGTTATGAAACTCGCACACACTCCCCACTTGCCCTCCAGCCCACCACCCCTCCAAATACTGAAGTCAAAACTACCAGAAAAAATATTACAAAGCATACCCAAGTTATTGCTAAATTCAGAGTATCAATAAAAGGCAGTTTTCTTATCTGGAGTAAAACTGAGTCACTTCTCACAGTGCAGCAGTCCTGCTCTAATTGACACAGTAACAAAAAACTAGCAGACTCATTTTTCAGCCAAGTCACAAAAATGTTAAGTACTGATGCTGGAATCATTACTCCTCATAGAATAATTAGTATTGTTATACACCTAGTTGCAAGCTTACACCTTGCTTATGACATGGTGCCCCTTACAGGCTAGGACCTCATTTAAGTTCTCAGGCTTTATTCTTGCACCCCTGGCAAGAATGAAAAAAAACAAAACAAAACTGGAAACTATGAGAACAACTGAACAGTTGATTTCCTCCAGGAATGTTCTAGGAGTGAGATGCCTTGTCTCCTCCAAAGGAACAGACTCTTTAGTTTGCAATGCATTTTGTGCTTTTTCCTTAGACATTAACTAAACGTAAGGAGGTTTTTTTTGTTTGTTTGGGGTTTTTTTGTTTTGTTTTTGTTTTTTTGTTCAGACTCAAATCTAACACAAGACAAATGAAAACAGAAAGAACAGCTGGTCAGCAATGAAAAAGAAATGAAACAGTGACTCTCAAAAATTTTTCAATACCCAAATTCTAGGTACTTGGGTCATTAAGTAACGTGTAGACACATGATGAGTTTTTGCATTATATTAAAGGGTTCTTAGGGTAGCAAAACAAACAAGCAAAAACCCCTCCTTTGTGTGCCTGAAAAACTTCAGTGTTAACCCTCACCTTCTACAGCTACCAGTCCTTTCTTCGTTCATTTTTCCATTAGAAGGAAAAGAGTCTTTCTTTCCTACTTACATAAGGGTGAAAGCAAGGTTCTCCAGAATACCAGAGTGAGAACATTAGTTGAAAAACTGATACAGAAGAGCACAGAAAAGAAGTCATGGTAATGTCTCAATGCAATCAAATACCTATTTTTATGCTGAACCAGCAACTGATAGAGCTTTTCAGTTTCTCCACTCCCATACAGGTAGTCTGCTTGCTCTATAACTTCTTCCACTTATGAAGGAATTAAAATTGTGGAAACAGAAGAAGAAATTACATGTAATTAGGACATTACAGCATAAACAAAACATTTTAGAGCAAGAGAACCTAGCTGAAACACAAACTATGTAGTCCCTTTTTAGGCCAAACAACTTACGTGCAGAGCAGGACTGAAAAAGCTACATTTACAATGAACTACTAAGAAGAGAAACAGTTCTGAGTACTTGCCTCTCATGAAACTACAGAACAGCTTTCATTAAGAGAGTTTTGGATGCTTGGATTTAACATTCAAGTGTCTTTCTCAACGCATCATACTACTAAGAACAATTTGTTTTCTTCCTTGTGAAAATGGCAGAAAATAAAAAAAAATATGAAAAATACGAGCAGGAGGGCAAGTGCAGTAGAGATCTGAGAGTAACAAAATCCCTTCCTTAGCATACATACAGAATTTAAATCTAATACTAAAAATAGAAAAAAAAAATTAAATAGTCTTCATTCTCAATATGGTTCTGTAGATTTGCCAGAATATGACTGCAGATTGAGTGGGTCCTGGTCTCTTTAACTCAACAAGCCAAAAGGAAACATTGCTCAAAGGTTATCTGACTGAAGTCCCTAGGATTTTCACAAACATGACTCCAGTAAATACAGTTCAACTACTGAAACCTCTATGTGCTCAAGATACTAAAAGCAAAAATTATTTTGAAAATCCCAGCTGTCTTTCTAGAGTATCAATTTATGAACTAAGTACCCATTGCTCTTATGATACTTTAATTCTTTTTCTAGAAAATACTTTAAAACACAACAGAGATGAGGGAGTACGTTCTCCACAACTGGCTGAATATATAATATATAAATAAATATACTATGTATATAATACATAAAACAGTATTCCACAGATGGAAATATCTAACGCCACACAATGCTAGCAGGAGAACAGATGGAATTAGGAAGAAAAATACCCAAAGGGAAGCAGGCAGATAATTCTGTTTACATATATAACTATATAGGAGAAAAACAAACTGTGAGCTTACTCTTCTGCCAACTTCAAATATGAAAAAATTACCTTTTAATTCAAAAGCCTTGTCTAATTTCTTAAAGAACTTTCAGCTATGCTTGTAATCTCTTTGGTATTACTCCTGGGCCCATGATTGAACTTCTAAGTCAAAACATAAGCTCTACCCCCCTCTTTGTAAAAATTAATCAAGTTTACAAGCTTCCTTTTTTCAAGTTATGCACTGAATATGGTAGTCATGTTTCACAGCAGCGCAGTTTTACTTACAGAAGAAAAAACATTGAAGGCTACTAAAGAAAAAAGCCTCCTCTTCAACTTAAAAAGATCCTAGAACATAAATCACTGAAGATCAGAAGAGCATTCTGGATAATTTTTAATCCTGCCATCCCTAAATGCCTTCTATCAACCATTTCAAAGATAAGATAAGATAATGGTCTACATGGACTTTGGATTTTAGTGTCCAAGATTAGCTTCATGGTACATCTTCAGTATTATCGTCAGTGAACTGTTAAGGGGTAACGATTATAAACTGAAAGAGGGTAGATTTAAACTAGATATTAGGAAGAAAGTTTTCACTGTGAGGGTGGTGAGACACTGGAACAGGTTGCCCAGGGAAGCTGTGGATGCCCCATCCCTGGAGGTGTTCAAGGCCAGGCTGGATGAGGCTTTGAGCAACCTGGGCTAGTGGAGGGTGTCCCTGCCCATGGCAGGGGGGTTGGATTTAAGGTCCTTTCCAACCCAAACCATTCTATGAGTCTGTGATTCTATGTTCGCTTGTTGAGACTCCCTGAACACTACTAACATATCTAATGACTAAATGTTCAGAAGTGGAACTTCTGAACGTGTTTCCCACTAGGTGTTTTACGTAAATTATTAAGTTTTTATCTCTTTAAGAGTATTTTTCAGGTGCTTTTTTTTTTTACTCTTATTTTCATCATATCTACTCCTTGTCTAGCATAGAAAACCCACCAACATTGCTTTTCTTGGCAATGCAAATGCCAGATCCAAGTGAGAGCACTAAAAAAGGCCAGAGGCAACCGCAGTGTTATTTATGTTCCCCATGGGAAGTGTGTACTCAGTAGCTATCTTAAATCTGTTCACTGAAAGCTCCTTCTATTACAGCAAATGAAACAGTTCATTATCCATTCAAAAGTCTATTGTCTGAATTTTTATTTCTATAAGCACAAGCATCTAAGATGTTCCTGTCTTTGTTTGTGACACAGAGAAACAGATTATCTGAACAGACTGTAAGCATACATTTCAGTTAGGCTCATTCTCCATTCAGTTAGGCTTACTCTCAAAAACCCTTAATTTACCACGTGATAGACAAGTTCTAAGGCTGCAACCATATCCCCTTTTGAGATAATGTTACTTTTCTTCCAGTAGTGTGACTACCTTTATTCAGATCCCGAAAAGAATATTTTATCACTTGTTCTATTCATTTCTGGTAGGTAAAGCAAGGCTTTTCTTCCTTTTTTTCCGTGTGACAAAAATACACGATATTTCTAATGCTCGACTAGATTAAATGGGAATCACACTGTGTTCATATTGAAAATGTAACTAAGGTTTCCAGAAATTGATTAAGGTTTGGTCTACATTCCTAACTGAACCATATCTTTCTCACTAAGCTGTTTAAAGCTTGGGAAACATGCACCTTGTGTGTGTGTGTTACATCCTACACGAGATGAACCACTAGATCTGCTTTCAGTGACACTTGAAAGAACCCCTTGTTAAACTGCTACAAGACTACCATGAACCAAATCAAAAGCATCCTGTCATGGAAACACACTGCATGCAGTCTTAACGGAGAAAATCAAAAGCATTACCATAATTCTGGCACTAAAAAATTTAGTTTCACATCAGAATAACCTACATACTTCAAAATTTGAAAATATTACCTTTGAAGCTTGCATGCACCTCAGCAAAGCCAGAAATCAACTTGCGAGCTTCATAAGCCAAAAAGGACCCTGCTGAGAGTGCAACCCCCGTCTGAAGGCTTTTTCTAAGCACCTGCATGGGATCATAAGATACGTGTTAATAAACATTGTTACTCTGACTTAAAAAAGTTTTTCGCACCTCCAGCACCAGACTTTGAACAGAGAAAACCCTTTTAAAAGTTTAAAAAAATAAAAAAAAAACCTTCATAAGAACCACCACATCATCAAGAGGGCATTTTATTTTTAAGCTTTTTCAGCAGAGGCTTGTAACTGCGCTTTAAAATACGAACAGAGCGCTGGACTGACAATAAACCACAGATACGGAGCAAACACAACGCAAGAAGCAAAACCAGCAGGCTTGTGGTTATCAAACGGACACAGGGATCAAACCAGCCCGTCCCAGGTCCTGCGGTGCCGGGGCCTCCA